CGGGTCTGAAACTCTGTCTGTCCAATGCCTTGGGACTTCCTCCCACCTCGAAAGGCGGTAGACAAATGTAATTTTGTTGTTGTTATTGATCCCATTGTATATGCTGACTGGAAAATTCTTCAGCTTTGACCCAAATGCTTATAGTGCAACTGGAGAGGGTCTGAGTTCTGACGAAGGGTCGTGGACCCGAAATGTTGACTCACTTTCCTTTCTCCAAAGATGCTGCCTGACTTGCTGAGTGTTCCCAGCAACTCCTGTTTTTGTTTTCATCTTAGGATACTTTCTCAACTTCCAATTTGACTTTCCGACTTCTTTATTAGAAGGCTTTTACTACATAAGTCTGTCACAGGAAGACCACATGCTTAAATCTGCTTCTCTGCAACTCTAGCAGGGTAACAGAGTTTCTCTCATTCAACTGTACCATGAACTCAAATTAACTTGCTGAACTTCCACTTTCTAAATCTTTCTAAGTTTCTGGAGTCTCACATCTCTTCCTTTCTTTTAATATAATTCTCTGTAAAAAATCTTGATTAATATATAGTGTAAGACTTACTGCACTATATTAGAGATTAGATAGTTCTCCATTGTTGGAGTAAAGGAGTAGCCTCCAATTAAGTTCACACACTTATTTGAGGTTTACAGCTGTTAGTTCAGCTCTGTTTTATCACTTATTTCTTGCAATGGATGACTCAAATCCTATTTTTTTCCTGTAATTGGGGGNAAAAGCTGGATTTTATAGTTGCATTGTTAGAATTGGCCAAAATTGAATTCAGAACTTCAGCTGTGGCCTAAGTAAGTTCATGTGCAAGTTCAACATTATTTCCTTGCTTTTGAGTGTATGGATAATGCTAGTGTTGAACCAATTAAATCAGCATAAATGCTATTGATATCACTGTCTGGCATGCTTCCTGCTGCTTGTCCAGCTCAGACCACCTTATCTGTTTAGGCCTTTGGCTTGCAGCGTTAACGGAAGTTAAGGGAGAGAGAATCTAGAGCCATGCCCCTCTGTGCTCTTGGTACATTTTGTTAGAATAGATACAAGGACTATTCGTTCGGTCAGTTTCCTTTAAGTCAATTTTCCGTAAACTTTTGCCATCTGGTATCCTGACAAAATTACCTGTTAATCTATAAATCTCTACAGGGCCTGATTCAAAACTATGCAAATTTGTACAAAGAATATCCTACAGATCTCTTTTTCCAATGCATAGCCACTAGAAGCTAGAATGATTCTCCTTGGAGAAGAGAAGGTTAAGAGGAGACTTAATAGAAGTTTTCAAAATTGTGAGGGGATTTGATAGGGTGAACAAGGAGAAACTATTTCCATTGGTAGGTGGGTCAGTAACCCGAAGACACAGATTTAAAATAGCCTTTGTGTGATCAAATGTTTTCTGATTCACTTTCAGATTTTAGTTCTAATTTTAAGATTATATTGTCTTGTTCTTGATTCATCTACAAGAGAGATTTGTTCCGAACAATTTGTCAATTGTCTTTATTATTTTAAAAGGCTAACATCCTAGAGGCAGTGTGGAGAGGTTGATTCCCAGTCAAGAGGGATGAGCTACTAGAAATGATTAGATAAGCTAAGGCTACTCAGGTTTCAAAATTGATATCTCAGAGATAACCTTTTTTATAAGTTGCTAAAACAGAAAATAAACGCAGAACTATAGTTTTAGATACACCAAGCTAGCAGGAAGAGTGGTCACAGGTTCAAGCTTGTTAAGTCCTGTAGCTCAGTGGATAGATCAATCGCCTCGCAAGCGAGAGACCTGGGTTCGATTCCCGGCCGGGTGAAATGTTGGGCAAGTTTCCTTACTCCACACGCTTCTGTTTACCTAGCAGTAAGTCGGAACCTGGTCGTTAGTCAATTGGTGGATTGCTTTTCCGGGGGTAATAATTCCTTCCAAATAATATATAATAATAATAAATTAGTCACTCAATCCATGACTGTTTGTCGGACCCTGCTGGGTGCAATTTATTTTGCCCACAAAATATACAATCAATTCATTTTACATCGTATTCTGTGAAACGCTTTGAGACGTCTCAAATGCAAGGGTTATTACTATTGTGTAGGTCAATTTTAACACATTAACACAATAACCATTATTATTATTTCTTTACTCAGGATAGTCAGCAGTTGGAACTCATTACCAGGTTTGATATTTTGGGTGTTATCTTTTAAGGAATCTTAAAACATTGGCAGGCAAAAACAGCAGCCCCATTCCTTATATACTGGGGCTAGTGTTGAACCATCAGCAGCTCTGAGGGGAAACAACATGCCCTCAAAGTCAGGAGTGTTCGTTCCCTAAATCTATCGTTGGTGACAGGTTTTTAGGGCACTTATCACCAGTGATTATTATTACATCACAAGTTGCATTTCCCCTCTTATTCCAATGCTTTTCCTGAATGAGGTATGATAAAATGAAGCTCAATTTATGTAAAGATGTGCAAAGAATGTACAGTACAGAAACAGGCCACTTGGCCTGACTAGTCCATCTTCACCCAATCCTTACTCCCATACCTTTCGATTCCCCTTTACCTCATGTAAAGATTTAGCTTCCTTTTGAATGGATCTATACTACCTGATTCAACCACAGTTTCAGGTAGTGAGTTCCACAATCTTTGTGAAGTAGTTCCTCCTAAATTCTCTTTTAGATCTCCTAGTCGCAATCTTATACCTGTTTCCTGGTTACGGACTCCCCATCCAGTAGAAATATCCTATTTATGTTTATCTTATCAAACCCTCTTATTCAGTAATTTTAAACACCTTTATTAGGTTTCCCCTTAAGTGTCTCTTCTCAAGTGAAAAAAGGTCTAACCTATCCAACCTATCATGATAACAGTAACCTGCCAGCCCTGGTATTATTCTAGTAAACCTATGCTGTACTCTTTCCATTACTGCTATATCTTTCTCATAGTGTGGAGACCAGAATTGGACACACACAATATTCCAAATGTGGTCTAAGCAAAATTTTGTATAATGATAATAATCCTTCCATTTGATGTAGCGCTTTGTCACGTTGTGAGACATGTCTCAAAACACTTCACAGAATATACTGGAAAGTGAATTGAATGTATTTTTCGTGGCTGAAACGTGGCAGCCAATTGCACACAGCAGTGTCCCAAAATCAGTTGAGAATTGAGTGGATTGAAAAAAATATATTCTTTGAAGGAATTATTAACCCCAGAAATTGATCCGCCAATCGACTAACAATACCTACTGTTAGTTAAATAGAGGTGTGTGGAGTAAGAAAACTTGCCGAAATCCACAGCCAGATACCTCTACTTTACCTAAGGTTTCGCCGTTCCCGAGAATCAAACACCAGTCCTCAAATATAAATTCAACATCACCTCCTCACTTTCATATTCTGTCTCTATTATATAGCCTTATCCATCTAGGTAGTTACTTTGAGAGATTTGGAGATCAAAATCTCTAGATCTCTTTGCTCATCTACTTCTTTTAGGTTCCTACCATCTAGACTATATGTGGCTTTTTTATTATTCGTGCTGCAGTGATTTACTTTGCATAAGGAGGTTGTCTGAAAGTGCTTGATTGAACCATGTATCACTAAATTGAATCCATAAATGGGATTAGGTCAACTGAAGGCAATGAGTGGGAGAGAAGGTCAGGTTTAAGAACCTAAGTACTTGAAAAGGAAAAAATTCCAGGGCTATGGGGTAAGAGAGGGGGAGTGGGACTATTTGGTAAACACAATGGGCAGAATGGTCACCTTGCGTGCTACAAGATTCTATGATTCTGTAAGATGATGAAACGTTCCTGTAGGGCTTAATCTCTGAAGGGTAATTGAAAGTCGTGCTGCTACTTGTTAGTAGGATAGTGGTAGTGCCTTTTTAAGTATTTTGTTTATTACAGCCTTGCAAGAAGTATTTTTCTCGGCCCTTTGGACAATTCTTTTTTTAAGATAAAATAATAATCCTTGCATTTGATATAGGGCCTTATCACGTCATTGAGAAGTAAAGTTTTACACTCAAGGTACAGTGAATTGACTGTGTATTTTGTGGGCAAAAAGTAGAAGCCAATTGTGCATAGCAATGCCCTGCGAACAGTCATAGGTTGAGGGTTATTATTAATTTTTTTTGGAGGGATTATCCGTACCGGAAAGAAATCCGCCAATCAACCGGGTTCCTCCTTAATGCTAGGTAAACAGAGGCATGTGGAGTAAGGAAACATGCCTAAGATTTCACCCTACCCAGGAATCAAACCCAGGTCCTCCAACTTGAGTGGACAAATTTTACAAAACTTCTAATGACCACTTCAGCAAATCTCCTTTACATTTCCTCTACGTTGGTCTAAATTCTCCTGAATTATGTTAATACCCTTTTATTCCAACAAATTGAAATAGATGGGTTGCTTTCTATGCATAAGTTAATGTCTTTCATGCATACAGTACACTGGTACAAAAATGTGTGTATTTTGTAAACATATTTTAGATCCCCCCCAATATAAAACAATTCTAAATTTTTGTATACTGACAATTCAGCAATGGTGGTAACTCTCTGAAAGTGTCAATTAAGCTCCTTGTAATGGGTTTTTGTTTCATTGTGGGGAGATCACTTATTGTTTTAAACCTTCTGAGTTCTGTTAAGTGCCTTCAGCTAACCTGCTCACAGCCTGCTGATTCTACTTTAAGATGAGCTGATATTTCAGACCAATGTACAATCCTAGTTTTGAAATGTAAGATGAGCCAGGGAAGGGCGTATGTAGAATGCTGCATTTTGTGTTTCACTTTAAATTTAAATTTTTCAGCCAACAGTGTCATGGCTGAAAAATCTGGGGGATTTTTTCATCATTTATTGTGGTGTGTAATTCTCCTTGGCTTTACAAAACAGCCCTTGTGGTTCTCATTGTGACATCAGTGCATCAAATGATTCATGCCTCCGTTGACTCTCTTCCTTCTTGAATTGTAATCTCCTTCTAAAATGAAAGGGAAATTCTGCTGTGAATGAATAGCTCTGTTCATTATTTCTCCTCTGCTCCCCAGGGAAAGAAACAGCCTTCTAAAAGAAGCAGAAGTCCTCCACAGGGCCAGATTTTCGCACATAATCCCAATATTTGGAATTTGCAATGAGCCTGAATTTATGGGAATTGTGACTGAATATGTGACCAATGGATCACTGGACCATCTGCTGCATCAGGTATTGTGGACTAGTCGACAAGCTCTTGGGCAATTCACTTTGTCTACCTTGATAATTATTGTGTAACTCTTTTCTAAAACAGTAGAGCAATGAACAGACTGCTCACTGCATGCACTATCGGGTGACAATTTTCAACATTTCATAATGTGTTTTGTGTGATAATTCTCATTATGCAATCCCACTAAATTCATTATTTTGATAATTATCAGCAGCCTCCACTGGGCCACTCAGTTTCCTTCAGATCTCCAACTCTGCACTTTGTTTTATATTGAAAAAGTATTTTCAGTCATAATTAGACCTGAAATAAGATTTCCCTCATCGTCTGGCTGGGGTCCAAGTTCTATAGGAGTTTGGTGTGTAACTCAACTTTTGTTAAAGGAATTCGTAATCTTTTTTCTATTTAATCACGTTATTCATGAATCTTCTTCTTTATACCTCTCATAGTAGAATTGCTTCATTTCTCTTCTCTTTGAATCTCAGTCTTTGAATTTGAACTCAAATTTCATATCTTCTTAGCATTCTGAACTTTGAATTCTCCCACTCCGATTCTGCGTTTCTGAACAGAACTCACCATTAATATACATGTTGGACTTTGCCATGTTAGGTAGCGGGGTCACTCATCACTCCCACCCTCGCTCGCCTCCACTGGCTCCCCATCCCCCAGAGGATCGAATTCAAGATCCTCACCCTCACCTACAAGGCCGTTCACGGCCTTGCTCCCTCCTACCTCTCCGACCTACTATCCCCCTGCCTACCTGCCCGTACCCTCCGTTCCTCTGGCTCCGGTCTGCTCCACATCCCCTGCCCCAACCGCCCTACCATCGGTGGCCGGGCCTTCAGCCTCTCAGCCCCGAGGCTCTGGAACTCTGTCCCCCAGTGCCTTCGCCGCTTCCTCCCTTTCCTCCTTCAAGGCCGGTCTCAAGACCTTTCTCTTTGACCGTGCCTTCAGCTCCCCTCTCGACTCTCTACCCCTCCTCGCTCCCTCCCTTCCCTTCCCTCACCCTGACCATTTCCCCCCTGCTCGGGTCCTGACCCAACTGTACAGCGCCTTGGGACATCCTCCCGACATGAAAGGCGCTCAATAAATGGAATCTTGTTGTTGTTGTTTTCTCTTTGTGGGTGGAAATGGACTGAAATGGTTAGAGTGAAATTCCATTCAAATGCCCCCTAGCTTTTAATGAATAGTTGTTTTCAGCTCTTCTCTTCTTAATCATATTGAGCCATCTGGTCCTTGGGATAGGTGACTCCATAGACTATTAATTTAGAGTTATGATCTCCAATATTTATTCTACCTGCTCAGAGTATCTGGGTAGGATAATTCATCTCATCTGCTTTGTTGCTGTAGGAGACATTTATTTTTTATATTGAAAAAAATACTTTTTCAATATAAAAAATTATCTTGATGATGTCATCCGCAGATATGGGGTTGACTTCCACATGCATGCGGATGATATTCAACTCTACTTTTCCACCTCCAGCTGCAAACCCCAGTCCCCCGATGTTCTGTCAGCTTTTCTGTCGGACATCAAGAACTGGATGAGTGCAAATTTCCTGCAGGTAAGCAACTTAGGCGTCAGGTTCAATCCCCAGTTATCCTTCCTCCCCCACATCCAGTCCCTGACCAGCACCACTTTCTTCCACCTCCACCATATTGCCCGTCTCCGAAAATACCGTCCCACAAAAGCTGCTGAAACCCTTGTCCATGCCTTTGTCACCTCTCAGCTGGACTACTCTAACGCCCCCCTCACCGGTCTCCCCTCCTCACGATTCAAAAAATTCAGCTCATTCAAAACTCCGCAGCCCACATTCTCACCCGCAACAAACTTCATACCCCGATTACTCCAGTCCTTGCCAAACTCCATTGGCTCCCTGTCACAGAGTGGATCGACTTCAAGATCCTCACTCTAGTGTTTAAATCCCTCCACTCCTTGGCACCCCCCTATCTCTCTAACCTCCTCTCTCCTCACAGCAGTAGCTGCTGCCTCCGCTCTACTGGGTCCGGCTCCTCTGTGTCCCCTGAATCCTCCGCTCCACCATCAGCGGCCATGCTTTTAGCCACTACGCCCTGAAACATTAGAACTCCTTCCCTCAACCCCTTCACTTCGTCCCCTCCTTCCCCGTCTTCTGGTCACGCCTGAAGACCTTCCTCTTCGACCACGCCTACAGTCAACTTCCCCCTCCTCTTGGCTCAGCCTCGGGCTCCACCATTGTTAAGCGCTCTGTGATGCTGCCTGGCGTGGAGAGCTCTATATAAATGCAAGTTGTTGTTGTCCTTGTTTGGTGAGTGACTTATGTTGTTTTTTTATTGTGTGGTAGAACAAAGGCTCTTTGGTTCAACTATCCAATTACCGTTTGATGCCTTGACTAAAAGTAACGCTTTTATACAGGTTGAATTTACACACATGTACAGCACAGAAATAGCCATTCGTCCCATGCAGTCTGTGCCGCTGATTAAACTCCACGAGTCTCCACCCACTCAGTACTCCCTCCAATACCCTCCTTTCTCTTCCTTTTGAATTGAACTTTTGATAGTCACTGATATAAGTGGCATATTTCCTACAACAGTAAATTCTGGATGGGCTGTGGCTTGTGTAGGGAGGAGATGGGGAGTTTGGCAAGTAGCGACAATAATTGAGCCTGGATGTGATGAAGGCATGAATGGGGGTCCAGGCAGCCCAGAGGGAGAGTTAGTGGTGTAGGTAAGCAATGTTTCAGAGGATGTAGGGCTTGAGGACAAACAGGGTTAAACAACACCACATTTCCTCCATGACGCAGAGTGAATATCCATTCACATTTCAAATCTGAAAGAGATGTTGGGTTTTCAAGCTGCAGGATGCAAAAATCTTCTTTTGATGTAATTCTAACAGTTAAAGAAATCTGGCATCAGATGTCAACTGGTTAATCTCCTTTATGTGTTAATTCTTTTCCATTTGTAAAATTGATTTCAAATTTGTAACTACTATGTTTTTTCTTTCCTCAATACAGAAAGAAACCTACCCTACACTTCCTTGGTCATTGCGATTACGCATATTGCATGAAATTGCGCTCGGGGTAAATTTCCTTCATAACATGAACCCACCGTTGCTGCATCATGACTTGAAAGCGCAGAACATTCTGCTCGATAGTGAATTCCATGTCAAGGTAAAGCTTTAATCATGTGCTACTCATGATGGAGTTCATCAAGTGCTGTGGAGCAGTTAGTACTTTTTGCTGATATATTTAAGAATCGATTAGCAGGTGTTCTTAGTAATAAAATAATAATCCTTATATTTGATTTTGGCCTTTCATGTCATAAGAGCATCTTAAATCACTTCACAGAAATTATTGTGATGTATAGCAGCTGTGTATATTTTAGACTTCCTCTACTAAAACTAAATGTATCTTTAATCTCTTGTGCATTCTTCATCATTCACTGTTTTCGGTGTTTACTGCATTTTCTTTTGCTATTGGGCAATAAAAGGCATTTGGATCATTTATGCCTTTTTGATTGTGTTCATTAGTCATATTGCATTGTGAAACAAAACTGATCTATTTTCTTGTGAACTAGCTATGAGACAAATAGAAAGCTGGTTTTCCACTGGAACTATCCACTCTTTGCCATACCTTTCTAATTTGTATCTGTTCAAAAACAATTTACATTGTGCAACGAGGATATCTCAAGGTGCTTCACATTGCTGACTTGATACCAGAGTTGAGCAAGGACAGCTGATGGGAGTAGGGAGCTTGGGACCAAAGGTACAGTCAAAAAGAGTTTTTAAGACAGGTTTTAAAAGTGGGAAGGGAAAGTACAAGGTGGAGGGAGTTCAGGAGCAGATGGTGGGGACCGACTGGGCGGGAGAGATGAAGCAGATCGTTGTTTGCTGGGCTGTTAGAGTTGCAGGAAGTTGGGATGGGGCAAATGACATGCAGGGATTTGATTGTGAGGGCTCGAGTTTTGAGCTGCTGGGGGATGGGGAACCAACAGAGTTTTTTTCTACTCCTAAATCTAGCTGTATTAAATAATCATACTTATTTGATTGATACATTATCAGCATTTGGTACAGCACCTTATCATGTCGTCAAAATGTCTGAAAATGCTTTGCAGGATTTACTGTATAAAGTGTAGCGACTGCATATTTTGTTAGCGAACACAGTAGCCAACTTGTGCACAGCAATATCCCACAACCATCCAGTTACCCCAACCGTCTCCTATTCACCATGGTACACCAGCCACCTCCGCTTCCTTAAAGCACAGATGCCTGCCGCTGAACTCACCTGGTTTAAATCAAATTTACCAATCCATCAGCAGATCTGGCTGTACCTTATCAAATCTTAACACTCCGCCCTCGCCTCCACTAAATCGCCGTTCTACTCCAAGACAATCATGGAGGGCAAGGATAACCCCAGGCTCCTCTTTTCCATCACCAACCGGCTCCTCCGCCCAACCTCTCACACCTCGTCCATCCTAACATCAAATGCCAACTGCCAGGTGATGCTGGACTTCCTCGAATCCAAAATTGAGGGAATCTGCTCAGCTGTCTTGCCATTCCATTTCCATTTGCTGCACCCTCCCCATCTCCCCCTCCCACTCCAGCCCCTACCCATCCCTTCCTCCACACTTTTGAACCTGTCTCCCACTCCTCTCTCACCACCACTGTAACCCTCATGAAGCTGACCACCTGCTCCCTCGACCCTATCCCTACCCTTCTCCTTACCTCCCAGCTCCACGTCCTTGCCCCTCTATGCACAGACGTCATAAATGTCTCCCTGTCCATTGGTACTCTACCACTGTACCTCTCTGCCTCCACTCTTGACTCCAGGAACCACTGCTGTCCTGACAGAAGGTCTGTCAGACATCAAGTCCAGGATGAGAGCTAACTTTCTTCAGTTGAACATCAACAAGATTGAGGCTCTCCTGATTGGCTCCCGTCAGCACCTCCTCACCTCAGGCGCTGACAGTGCCATCATCCAAGGATGCACACTCCACCTCACTGAGCCAGTCTGGAACCTTGGCATCTTGTTTGACCCTCAACTATCCTTTCTACCCTATATCTGTGCCATGACCCGCTCTGCCTTCCCCTAACCTCCACAACATCGCCCGGCTCCGCCACTGTCTCACACCGCAGGCCGCCAAACCTCATACATGCTTTCATTACATCAAGGCTCGACTATGCAAACTCATTGCTTGTCAGCCTCCTCAACTCCTCCCTCCATAGGCCTCAGATCATCCAGAACTCTGCAACCCATTTCCTTTGCTGCATTAGGCTCCACAACTCTATCAGCCCCATCCTTGTCCAACTCCCTGGCTTCCCATCACTCAGAGGATACAGTTCAAGATCCCGGTCCCCACCTTCAAAGCTCTCCATGGTCGTGCTCGCCCCTACGTCTGTGACCTCCTAACCCCCCTACCATCCTGCTCGCGGGCTCTGGCCTGCTTCACGTCCGCCGCCTTGCTCGCCCCACTATTGGCGGGCTGGCCTTCTGCTACTCTGCCCCCACCCTCTGGAACTCCATCCCACAGACCCTCTGCCTCACCCCCTCCCTTGCCAACTTCAAGACCCAACTCAAGGCCCTCCTCTTCGACCGTGCTTTCGATATCCCTCCTTCTCCCCCTGCCCTCCACCCTCCCCCACCCCGACCCCCAGATCGGGTCCGAAACTCTGTCTGGCCAGCGTCTTGGGACATCCTCCCGATGTGAATGGCACTATACAAATGTAATTGTGTTGAGTGTTGTTGTTGTATCGCAAACAGTTAGTTTAGATTGTGAAATGTCAAATAGATAAGACCAGCTTCTATGGATCAGGAAGTTGTGAAACCTTTGTTTTAAATATTGCAAAATGAACGTGTTTGATGTTGACCTCTTGCCACTAGTGATTCACTTTCTGCAATTTTAGACCAATCCAAGCAGTGCTTAAAATCATCAGTGACCTTTTAATAACTATTGAGCATATGATTGCTAAAATTTTATCCATGACAGATATGCTGGCCTCATGCTTACTGCAACAAAATGCAGACACAATGGTTAATATTCTGTTGGCTCAGGTGGTTCCAAATATCCAGTAACCATCCCCCCCAGTATGTGTCACTCTCCTCCCAGGGCCTTCGGACCTCTCTAGTGTAACGATAGACTTTTGTAGATGAATGCAGCAGTCAATTTGTCCATGTCAATGTCTCACAAGCAACCAGTTAGTTAGCTCTTTCTGAATAGTAACTGTGTTGCAGACAGTTTAGTTGGCAGAAGGCTCAATTAGATATTACAGACTACTTTCTGCATCAAGAAGTAGAGCTATTCTTCTCCAATCAATGTGCTTTACAAGCGTTTTCCAATCTCAGACTCCATCAGTAAGACTCATGATCAGAAGCAGCACATCACTCCTGCTATTCCATAGCCCCAATTTCGGGCCCATCATGCTGAACCAACTCCGACGTCCATTAGTGGATCTGAATATGTTTTAAAACATAGTTTTTGGAGGCAGTGAGAGGGAAGTGAAAGTAGAACTCAGTACCTTAAAGCAAACTTCAGTTAAAATCCCCTACCCCTGGTAATATGTGTTGTTGGCAGTGACATTAGGATTGGGTAATTTTAGTCTGAGAGTGACACTGAATACCCCATATCTAAGAAAGAGAGAGCAGCAAAGAGAGTGTGTATTTGTTATTTTCCAATCCCAGTGGTAACAGTATGTCAGCCTAGCTCAGATGGTAACAATCTTGCCTGTCAGCCAGAAGGTTGCGGGTTCAAGCCCCATGTCAGGACTTTGAGCTCATATAGAATATAGACTGACACTCTCATTACAGTGCTGAGGATATGCCACATTGTTGAAGTTGTGTTCAGATGAGATGTTAAATCAAAATTCCGTCTGCCTGTTCAGGTGGATGTTAGAGGCACTGTTTGTGGCTTAAACCCACAATATTCTGACTCAGAGGAAGAATGCTACTGACTGAGCCAGGCTGACAAGATGCCATCGTGCTATTCGAAAAGAGAAGGGAATTGGCCAACAATCCCCCCGATAAAACAGCTCAGTCACTTCATGGCCTTTTGCCCCATCCTTGCCTGGCTCCACTGGCTCCCCATCACTCAGGATAGAGTTCAAGATCCTGGTCGTCACCTTCAAAGCCCTCCACAACCTCGCTCCTCCTTATCTCTGTGACCTCCTAACCCCCTACGAACCTATCCGCTCAGCGAGCTTCGGCCTGCTACATGTCCTCCGCCTTGCCCGCCCCACCATTGGCGGGCAGGCCTTCAGCCTTTCTGCCCCCACCCTCTGCAACTCCATTCCGCAGACCCTCCCCTTCTTCCACTCTCTTGCCTCCTTCAAGACCTATCTCAAGACCCTCCTCTTCAACCGTGTCTTCAGTCACCCTCCTACCCCTACCCTCCCCGGCCTCCACCCCTTCTGATGCCAACCACCAGCTCGGGTGTGGATTTCTGATTATCCAGCGCCTTGGGACGTCCTCTTGACGTGAAAGGCGCGATACAAATGTAAGTTGTTGTTTTGTGGGACATAGCTGTGTGTAGATTGGCTGTTGCGTTCTCTGTCCCTGAAACTATGGAACTCTCTGCCTCAATCCCTCTGCATTGCCAACTCCACGCCCATTTTCAGATCACACTTGAAGACCTCTTCAACCTTGTGTACAGTCACCTCCCCCCTCTCCCTGGCTCGGCATCAAGGCCAGCTATATAAATCCAAGTTGGTGTTGGTATTGTTATTCGCATTCATGTACAAAATATGCAACCACTGCATTTTATAGTATACTCTGTAAAGCACTTTGAAACATCTTCCTGATTTGAAAGATACTACATTAAATGTAAATATAGTAATTATTTGATCATAGTGGGAAGGACTGGAAGAGGAGAATCAGAGGTATCTTTTTCTAGCTGATATCTCTTTCTAGGTCTCTTCAGAGAAGACCTTTAAGCCAGTAAATGATATGAACCACAGGGAAAAATAAAGTACAATGATTTAATTGTATTAATTTGTTACTGCAATCACATTCAACAACAACAAGATTTCATTTATAGAACGCCTTTCACGTCGGGAGGACATCCCAAGACGCTGGACAGTTGGGTCAGGACCCGAGCAATGGGGAAATGGTCAGGGTGAGGGGAGGGAAGGGAGGGAGCGAGGAGGGGGTAGAGAGTCGAGAGGGGAGCTGAAGGCACGGTGAAAGAGAAAGGTCTTGAGACCGGCCTTGAAGGAGGAAAGGGAGGAAGCAAGGCGAAGGCACTGTGGGGTGGAGTTCATTAATTTGCTCGTTCATTTAACAGAAATATAAATAATGAAGCCTCACACTGCTGCTAATGATTTTTTAATTCATCATTCAATCTTAATCATGAAGCTACCATTGTTTTTTATAACTGTAAAAAAGGCCACAAAGGGGATTTATTCATAGTCACTCAAAAGGACCAAAATTCCACCAGTCTTAGCTTTCAAAACTATTTGTCTTAAAATTTAAGATCACGCAAGATTATGGAGAATTCTTAACTTTAATTTTGAGCACTTTTTTAAAAAGTTCTGCGCAAACCGGATCCCAAATAAAGATTGAATTTAAGGAATCTCCATGATCCCGTTCGATCTCAAAGATTAAGGCAAAATGTTGTTACAGGGTAAGACTTGTGGAATTTCAGGCCTAAAGTTGCTAACTGGGAATTCTAACGACCAGCATATCACAGCCAATTTTTGTGAACCTGCACTTCGAAGCCTATCATGATTTACTGCTGCATGGATGGATAGCTTGTTATTAGCAGATTCTCCTGATACTGACTCTCAGATGCCATCAGTGAATCAAATGTGTTGAGCCACCACATTTGCAATCTTCTCATTTTCTCAAACAATGCAGATAACATGGTACTTGTTCCTTTAGCTTTTCCTGAAGAGTAATTGTTTAGTTAGTGGCAGAAATACAGCAGTATACTATTACCAATCAAATCTATTGGGGAATAGGTCACTCACTAAATATGTGATGAAGAATTTCAGAAAAAGCTTGTATTTTCTATAATGCAACTTCCTTTACCATAATGAAGTAATGTCGATGAAGTGACTCTGTAGTGTCAATGAGGGGACACTTAGTGTCAATAAGAGGATGGTGTAATGTGCCGAGTTGTATTCTGTTATTAACCAAAGACATTAGCACCATCTCCTGAGGTGGATTTTCCTCTGGTCTCTGCACAGCGATACCCAGCACTGCAGAAATGCCATCGGGATCTTTGACAATCATTCTTTCCCGAGTGAAGAATTTCACTGTCTTAAGTTCTTCCCCAAGAAAAATGTCACAACATGGAAACAAGATTGTTTATCTGTGTTGCTGCTGGAGCCTTTCTACTAAGCAATGTCAATGGAGCTTTAGGCTTCTTAAGAACCATTTCCGTTTACAACAGCAACAACTACAACAACAACTTGCACTTATATTTATATAAGATGTCTCCTGACGTGTAAGACATTCTATAAATGTTATTTTGTTGTTGTATATAGCGCCCTCCCTGTTAGTTCAGAAGCCCTGAAGTGGGGCTTCAATTTAAAATCTTCTGACACAGAGATGAGACTCTTATCAACTGATCCAGGCTGAGATTGCAATTGCTGTTTAAATGAAAATCTGCATGGGAAGGTGTAAATACTCAAGACATTCGTATAGACAACTTGGAAGTTGAAGGTATATAGCCATTGTAATAAATGTATAGATCTAACTAGCAGTACCAAAGCCAGGTATGAGAAATCAGTGTGGGAAGAGCATTTGATGAAGATGCTGTTACACCAGGGCCAGCAAGTTGTGTGTCAAAACAAGTTATTTCCAGACAAACCTAACAAACAAACACTATTTTGAATATAATGGACTTTCAAATTCTTTAAAATTAATTTCTCCAATTTTCTTTTCCAATCCACCAATCCGGTCAAACCCTAAACTCAATGAATACATTTGAGAGTTGGCTCAATTTCTAACAGGACTAAGGAATCTGTTTGTAACTAAACAGATAGTTTTTAGTTTCATAATTGACCCTCAGCAGGATCATTTCAAAGCTCAGAGTTGTGTTTCTCCTATCAACTAAAAGACAAAGACAATCCATTAACATGCCTTTCTGTTGACACCAGTAAACAACTAACTATACAAATACATTACTTCTTATTTTGATTCCCGTTTTAGTGTTTCAATTTGCAGAAGTCTTGCTCTTGTACAAAGTCAGAGAGATTGTGATCTAAAGTACAGCAATGCAGAATGGAAACTTAAGGTTACTGTGATTAGGTAAAAGAGCATAGCCTTGCAGTTATATGGACTGCACAGAACGTCACCAGTATATCATTTATTAATTTGAACAGTAATGCATTTATAAAGAAAATTGATCCGTGTTTGCATTTACTGATCTGATGGGCTGTAAACTCTGAGCAATCCTGTCATTACAAACGGATGTGCTGAAGTATTAACTCAAAGTGTTGTCTTACGTGGCAATATGCAAGACATAAATTATTTTATTCTATTACAATTATAATTGTAAAGCCTGTCAATGTTTTTTTTATATATACTGCTATGACTCCAGTTTTCTTGCTTATAGTCATTTGGACTCTTTTTGCTTATAATGGAGAAGTGGTCCCAAGGGTGTTAGTTGCTTCGCTGTACATCACCCACGTGGCCATTATTCATGTGTGAGCATTCATGGTGCTTTATGAAAATGGGAGTGGGGGTGAGCATCACAGCTGAACTCATTTCCCCCTTTCACCCAGTGCCTACACACACAGATACAGCTTCCTGGCAGAAGTAGTGATCAAGACTCAAAACTTGAGCCTAATTTTCTGGCTGACATCAAGAAATTTAGCAGTGATCTAAGCCCCTGCTTTATGAACTCTATGATCCGGTGATACTATGGCTTTTGCAGAGTATATTTGTAATCATATTTCATGTGATTTTAATCTTAATCTTTGCATTTGATATAGCGCATTATCTTATCAAAAGCACTTCACAGGATATATTGCAAAGTGAATTGCTATATTTATGTGCAAAGTGAAACATGTTTCCTTTATTGAAGCTGGACCCGCAATGACAAGCTTGCCAGGAAGTGCTCTCAATGACAAATTATCTGCTTAAACTTCAGCAATACCCCAATGCATACTCTGAGGCCCCAAGCATTGGCTTTTAGCAACCTGCACCTAATACTTTCTGCAAGTAAGTAAGCGCAGAATGCCCTCCAGGGAGAAAGATGAGCTTTCTACTTTAATTGCTCAGCTTGTTGGTAGCATTCGCACATCTGAATCAGAAGGTTGTGGGTTCAAACCCTAAGTCGAGACTTTGAATTTATAGTCTGGATTTACTCTCCAGTGGAATGTTGGGTTGTATTGCATTGTCAGATCTTATGATCTTATCGAATGGCGGGGTAGGCTCGAGGGGCCGAATGGCCTGCTCCTGCTCCTAATTCTTATGTTCTTAAACCAAGGCCTCATCTGCAGGTGGAGCTTAAAGATCCCAAGGCATTATTTGAAAAGAGAAGGGATTGATCATTTACATCATGGTTGTTTGTGGGACATTGCTGTGTGCATATTAGCTGCTGCAGTTACCTGCAATTAAAGTCACTACGCTTCACAATGAATCGTGTGAGGCTCTTTGAGACATTTCAATAACCCGATACGGTGCTAAGGATCATTATTGTCATAAATGCTTTTAATACTCACAAACATTCTAATGAACTCGCATATGGTAAACTTCAAAGGCCATTTCTGTTTAAGAAACTGTGCTATAAAGGAGCCCACATATTTGGTTTAATTCAACGGTTTGATTTATTGTATTCTTCCTAGATCGCAGACTTTGGCCTCTCAAAGTGGCGGCGTTTGACCATGAGTAAGTCGTCAGGCCTGAAGTCTCCTTCAACTGGAGGAACAATTATCTATATGGCTCCTGAACAGTATGAGCCGAGCAAAATTAAACGTGCAGATGTGAAACACGACATATACAGGTACAAGTGTACGGGATCTTCAACATTTGGCAAAATATTTAAAATAGTTTATTTAAATAACATAACAACATGTAGGAGCAGGAGTAGGCCATTCGGCCCTTCGAGTCTGCCCCGCCATTCAATCATGGCTGATCTTCTAATCTAACTCCAGCTAATATCCTAACCCTGCCTTATCCCCATATCCCTTAATCCCTTTTGCAATAGGAAATCTGTCTATCTCAGTCTTGAATATGTTCAAGGACTGAGCGTCAACAGCCCTTTGGGGTAGCGAGTTCCATACATTCACCACCCTTTGAGTGAAGAAGTTCTTATAGGTTTCTATAAGATCCCCTCTAATTCTTCTATATTCCAGAGAATATAGGTCCAAATTGGTCAGCCTATCCTCGTAACTCATCCCCTTCATCCCTGGTACTAACCTAGTAAATCTACGTTGCACCCCCTCCAAGGCAAGTACATCCTTCCTTAAATGAGGAGACCAAAACTGCGCACGGTATTACAAGTGTGGTCTCACCAGGGCCCTATACAGTTGCAGCAAGACTTCCCTACCCTTATACTTTAATCCTTTCATAATGAATGCTAACATACCGTTCACCTTCCTATTGCTCGCTGCACCTGCAGACTAACTTTCTGTGATTGGTGTACAAGAACGCCCAAGTCCCTCTGGACGCTAACACATTCTAATCTCTCCGCTTCTAAAAAATAACCCGCTCTATTGTTTTTGCTACCTAAGTGGATGACTTTGCACTTCCCTACATTATGCTTCATCTGCCACCTACCTGCCCAATCACCTAACCTATCTATGTCTCGCTGCATTTTTTTAATGTCGTCCTCTGTGTTGACACTTCCTCCTGGTTTTGTGTCATCTGCGAATTTAGATATATTAACTTTGATGTCCTCATCTAGATCGTTGATGTAGATGGCTGAGCTTTAATAGCTGAGGCTTAAAGACTGATCCTTGTGGCACTCCACTAGACACATCCCGCCAATCTGAAAAGGACCCGTTTATCCCTACTCTTTGTTTCCTACCCATTAACCATTCCGCAATCCACGTTAGTATGCTCCCACCAATTCCATGGGCCCTTATCTTGTGGACTAACCTTTTATGCGGCACCTTAGTGAATGTCTTCTGGAAGTCCAAATAGACCACATCCACTGATTCACCCTTATCTAGTTTACTGGAAATATCCTCAAAAAATTTGTCAAACATGACTTCCCTTTTGTAAAGCCATGTTGACTTGGCCTAATTATATTGTGCTCCCCTAAATACCACACTACCACATCCTTAATTTATGATTCTAAATGTTTTCCTATCACTAATGTGAGACTAACTGGCCTATAGTTCCCCATCTTTTCCTTTCCTCCTTTTTTAAATAGTGGTGTGACATTTGGGATCTTCCAATCCATGGGGACTGTTCCAGAATCCAAGGAATTTTGGAAGATCAGACATAAGGCCTCCACTATCTCATAAGCTACCTCTTTTAAAACCCTGGGATGCAAGCCATCCGGACCAGGGGATTTGTCACTTTTTAGTGCTAACAGTTTCCCAGCACCAATTCTCTACTAATGAAAATTTCCCTAAGTTGCTCCCTGTCCTTATCCCCTTGGTGCATCTCTATTGTTGGCAGACTTGTTGTGTCTTCTAGGGTGAAGACGATGCAAAGTACCCATTTAGGGACTCTGCCATGTCCTTATCCCCCATTACAACTTCTCCCGTCTCTGACTGAAGTGGACCTATTCCTCTTAATATATTTGTAAAAACTTTTACAATCAGACTTAATGTTCCTAGCTAGCTTACGCTCATACTCCTTTTTCTCGCTCTTAATGAGTTTTTTAGTTTTATTTTGCTGGTTTCTAAAACTCTCCCAATCTTCAGATTTGCTGCTTTTCTTGGCAGTTTTATAAGCCTTTTCTTTTAATTTGATGCTTTCCCTAACTGCTCTAATTAGCCACGGATGAATTGCTTTCCCTGTGGTACTCTTATTTCGCAAGGGAATATGCGACCGCTGAGAATTTTGCACTGCATTCTTAAATATTTGCCACTGTTGGTCTACATTTTTTCCTCTTAATCATATTCTCCAGTCTATTTTACTTAAATCTTTCCTCATACCTACAAAATAGTTTATTTTAGAAGTAGTTTTTGGTCAATAATAGCATTGTCAGTTTGATGGTATTTTATGTTTGACTGATATTTTATATTTAAAGAATTATATAGTTTAGGAACTGGTCTCGCAGATTCCTACAATAACTTCATAATTTTGTGTTAGTTATAACGGGTGATAATTCTCACAACATTGATAAATTACATTTGACAAAAGTCCATAATTAAAGACTGGACTCAGGCGTGTCTGTTTCCCTTCCCTGCTCTCCTCCAACACTATCACAATATTTGGGCTCAAAGCTGCTCACATCACTGGCACTGATCAATGAACAAAAATCAGTTTACACAATCACAAGCGAGGTTTAAAGATACTCACCCATACTAAACTCCGTGCCCCCATCACACCAGTTCTAGCCAGACTCCACTGGCTCCCTATCACTGAACTGATCGATTTCAAGATCCTCACACTTGTTTTCAAATCCCTTCATGCCCTGGCACCTCCCGACCTCTCCGACCTGCTTATCCCCCAACCCACAATCTGCTGCCTCCACTCGACTAGCTCCGGCCTTCTGTGCTGTACATTTCTGTGCTTCTGAGGCATCTTACTAAGGACTCTGGACTTGAAAACAGCTTTGAAAACTGTTTTTTAAATTGGCTATTGACAATTAATGAGAATAGATCTTAGCTATGACCTGGTGAATTTTTGATAGGTTTCCACGTGTCAGATCAAGAATTGGTTTCCCAAACTAATCAGGCCATTAGATATCCGTTTTTTATTATATTCAGTGGAGCTTTGGTATAACATGATCTTAAGGCCCATAAAATACCAACTCTCCTTATAATGAAAAAAAGACTGAAATCTTAAATATAACATAAATATATTTCTTAAAGGAACTTGCAGGATTTTATTGTGAAGCGTAGTGAACCTGTATTTGTACCCGAACGCACTGGCCAATTTGCATGCAGCAATCTCCCGCAAATAGCCATGAAATAAATCATAACCAATTTTATTTTGGGGAATTGTTGCAATGGACAGTTCAAATCTGAAATAGGGTGTATAATGTCACATGAATTAGGTATATGAACTGTCAACTCTTATGTAACTCCTCATCTCATTATTATTTTACATTCTGTTTATAGCTATGCAATAATCATGTGGGAGGTTCTTTCAAGAAAGCAGCCATTTGAAGGTGAGTTCTGCTTTGAGGCTAAAGTTTGGACAAATGTGTTGATAAATTAGTGGCTTCTTGTGTAAGTAATTTAATAATTCAAATTGACTTTCAATTGAAAATATTGCCCCGATAGTGTAGTAATAATATAACAATAATAATAATCCTTGCATTTGATATAGCACTTTTCATGTCTTCTAGACATCCTAAAGCGCTTCACAGAATATACTGTAAAGTGAATTGACTGTATATTTGTGGGCGAACGCGGCGGCCAATTGCGCACAGCAGTGTCCTACAAACAGTCATGGATTGAAAATGACCAATTTATTATTGTTATTGGATAGATTATTGTTATTATTGTAGTGGATAGAGCTGTAGCTTATGGACCAGGAGCTTGTTGGTTCGAATCCGGGGCTGTACTGAGTTTGTTGTTCTGAGCAGATTTAAAATAGCCGTTAAAAGAAACAGGGAAGGTGAAGAGAAATTTTTTCACACAACGAGTTGTTCGGATTTGGAATGCATTGCTTGAAAGGGTGGTGAAAGCCGATTCGATACAACTTTTAAGAGTGAAGTAGATAATTATTTGGGAAGGACAAGTTTGCAGGGTATGGGGAGAGAGCAGGGGAATGGGATTGATTTGGATAGTTCTTTTCAAAGAGCCGGCACAGACACGATGGGCCAAATGGCCTCCTTCTGTGCTGTATAATTCTATGACTTACGAGAGGCTAAATTGGCCCCATCCTTCGTTAACCCAGCCATGGGGAGAGGTCAGGGTCAGCTAAGATATCCTCTACAATTGAGTGGCTTGCAGCCATTCACTATCAAGGGTCACAGATAAGCATTAGCCACTTGGAGTAAGGTACCAGAGGATGCCAATGGGGAGACTATTACCAAAAAAATTGCATTACACAATAATTTTATAAAATTGTTGCTAAAGATTCAAATCGCCATGACCACCCCAACCTCCCATTGTCATTTACTTTATTTTATTTGTGCCTCAAATATCTTCTGATCAAAACATGTAAATCTGCCCCTTTTCAAATGAATATATAGAGCAATGTCCATGTTCTCCCAAAGAAAGATCTAGCAAATTTACAGTGGAGAAAGAGGCCATTTGGCCTATCAAGTGTGCAACACATCTGGGAGTAAACTGTTCATTCAACCCCACCTGCCCTGCCCTATCAACCTGTCTTCTTCCCTCTTGAAACCCACAAATCCACTCTAACTTAATAGAACTGAGGTTTGCGGAATTGGAGGAGAGGGGCATAACCTGCACTAAACAGTGATCAATCCAAGGTGATGAATCCCATTGATTTGTGTAGGTGTAGGTAACAATCTCCTCACCTATGTTTCAATCTGCTTTCTATCAGTTTCCTTTCTAATTACCGCTTCCATACATTACCTCTTGGAAGTAAAGAATTTTAAAAATCCTTACATTTGGTTTAGTGCCTTTTGCGTCGGGAGCACGTCTCAGAGACAACAAAGTAGCCCATACAAATTCTATAGAGTTGTACCATGTGGAATAGGTCCTCACACCACTTTTTTTTACCTCTCCCCATTAATTTTCTACCAGGCCCCATCCTCATTATTTGGGGGTGTAACTACTCATATATGTGACAAGAACAGGAACAACTGTCTTAATTCTTTTACAAGTTGAACAGGAGAGAAATTTATGTTAACTTTGTTCTGCATTACAATCCATGTCACAATTATAAGTGGCTGTGTTTTAGAGTGTAGGCAATATTGTAACCCTTATGAATATATTTTAGCAATTATAGCAAGCACCGATTATTTTGTTTCAACTTGCCTTAATGGCTGGGATTGCTGAATCAGAGAAAATTACCTTTTAGGTCACACGCAAAATCATTCATCACTGAAATGAAAATGCATGCATGAGATACTTTATAGCAAATTCAATCTATTCAGGGTAGCCACAGGATTGTGGGAGCTTGGGTTTGTGTGATATCAGAATATCTGGTTGGGGGGCTCAGGGAAAAGGCCTCCTCAGTATTTAGGTCTAATTTGTAATGTTCACAAAACACCTAAATGCGATTTCCCGAAGAGCAAAACAACTTTCAGAATCAGAATTATCCATTTGGGGTATTTTTAAATCAAATGCCTCTCAATGCCCACAAACAGAAATCATAATAAGCATTTTGGATCCCATCTCTCAATATCGCAAACTAGTCCCCAATTTCTGCTGTTTCACTGACCTTAGCTAAAACACTTATTAAATGAATGAATTCCGTGATGTATGACGACTTTCTTATTTTGGATTGAAAGACTTTCACTTAAGTGAATAGAATGAAATGTGATGTGTGATGTGATACATATGACATTGTGGTGCATTCCACCACCCTGCCCACCACAGGCTGTGATCAAATGCTTATGACAGTCGTTGAACAGACCGACAGCACCTTTGAACCTACTGCTGCACAGATCATTTTGGTGCAGTTAAAATGTTTCAAAACCATTACCGGATGAGAGGATGTTGAGTCAGTGTCATTTCGCAAGATTAATTTTAAAGGTAACAGAAGCATGATGTACCTCATGAGTAACATTTTCTCTTAGATGCTACAAATCCAATGCAGATCATGTTTAGCGTACTACAAGGTTCTCGACCAGACACCAGTGAGGAGAGCTTATCACAGGACATTCCATATCGTGAGACTCTGCTGGAGCTGATGACTAGTGGCTGGTCAAAAAACCCTGATGAACGACCTTCCTTTACACGTAAGTTGTTATGAGCTACACTCATTGATAGGTTAACTTTAAAACAATCACCGAGAGGAAAGGGCAAAGGCAAAGGGTAAAGGCTAAGAGAAATGTACACCTCCTATTGGGCAGTTCAGGGTAACACAAATGGAAAATATAACCGTGATCAATAATCTTTGCATTTAATATCGTGCCTTTTAAGCATTGATAAGATCTTCACAGCCAATTTGCACAATGTTCTACAAACAGTCAATGACCAATCTATATGTGGGATTATATATATATATATATGGGGAATTGTTAGTCAGGACACTGGGAGAAACTCTCTTCTCTTTCAAATAACACCATAGGATTTAACATCCACCCGAACACACAAATGGGAACTTGGTGCTCACCAAAGAAAGACACCTTGACAACGCAGCATTGCAGTGTTAGTTTATATCATCAAGTGGATTCAAGCCACACATTGTGTTCTCCTTATTCATGTTTTATTTTGATAGTTCCAGATATTTCACATGCTAGAAAATGCAATATATTTTGTTCATCGATCTCTCTTGTTTGTCACTTCTGCTTATATTACTTCTTGTTTTGTTTTAATTATTTTAAATGTTGTGTTTATTGTTCATTTACAGTTGATATTGATAAATGTTTTAATCCATTCTCCTTTTCACACAACTTCTATGTCTATATGATGATTCCTCTAAATGAACAATGTACTGAAGCAACTTAAAAACTGCAGCAATTGATAGTTATTTGGAGCTTTCACTTTCAATAATTTGCAATGGAACTGCATCCAATCACGGTGATATTTTCACTTCACAAATATTCCCACTCTTTTCATTGCTAAATTGAAATAGAAACTCACTGAATTCCATGCCAGTTACTTTTTTTTCTTTCTCACCAATTTTCTTCACCAATTTTACCCTTTCTCCTGCTTAACAGTTTTGATCCTCCCTCAACTTCAGTACACAACACATTTGGCAATGGCTGCTGGATGCAAATCAGGAACAAGCTAATTTTCCATTCCCTAACCAGGGGCCCTGATATCACTTTTAGTATCCTGTAAAGATCACCCAGTCTAGAATCAGCTAACTCAGCAGCAAGTAAATGTTAATCTTCAACTATAAAACTTGAGAAAGACTTGGATTCAGAAAAATTGCATCTCTGCAGCCCTGCGCTGCTCACACCCTTTGGGGAGCTGTTAGTCACTGCTGGCACAAAACTAACAAAAGATTTGAATTTTTCTTTCCTCCCGAAATGCCAGTTTGGAGAAATCATTAATTAACCATTTCAACACCTACCTGAAGAAAATGACAGGACCTTGATCTCCATCTTCTTAGTTCAGCCAAGGGTTGAGTGAACTCTAATAGGGTGCTTCATTAAGAAATATTGCTAGTTAGGCAGCGGCTCTCATTATGCTCAACTTCAAGCTTCTGTTTGTTAGGCACATGAAAAATCTAGATGTGGGCCCATGAAAGGTAAAATATTTTTATGAAATGGGAATAGAATCTTGCCCTGATGGCCCAAAGGATAAAGGCACTTTTTGGCGCAGCTTTAAGTCATAGATGTAAGGAGTTAATGTTCAAATCTGGGACTAATGTGCTGGGCTCATGGATTGATGCGACCAAACTCACCCTTGGGCTAGAAACATATAGATGTTGATTGTCAGATGATAGAAATTACTGCACAGAAGGCTGGGAGTGCACAAATGTACTCTAGTGCTATCAACTGAAATCCCACTTCCTTGCTTTTTCCCTCTGCTTTCCTCCATAAATCAATAGAGCGAATCAGGTTTGTCTGCACAGTTGAATAGAGACATGAAAAATGCCTACGAGACTCCCACACGAAGAGCAACATTATGATTGAGCTACTGGAGGATGAACGAAGGTCATGGAACACAGCCCAGCTGAGTCCATGCCTTCAGGTCAGGAAGGGGTGGGGAAAAAAATAAACTTCAGGGGAAAGATAAGAAAAGCATTTGCACCTTAATTTTAGTTAAATGAGTTGTGAGTTCAACTTGCTGGTCGATGATAAATTTGGAAGAGGGGATAAAAAGTTCCTGAGTGGTGCAGGTATTGCTCAAATGATGTTCCCATTGTAAGCATATGGTTTGAATTCTGAATGTAGAAGGATTCAATCAATGTGAACTCGTGCTGAACGATTCGTGCTGGTAACAGTGGAGGCTACACTTTTCACAGAGCATGAGGGATATAGAATAGATTGGTTTGGAAATTCAAATCCAAAACAAACAACTCTTAATATGTTTGCTCATAAAGGGTGCCTGATGGAATTGGAGCCAGTGGTGCGAACATTCAATGAAGTGACTGTACTTGAAGATATTTTACAACTTAAAAGAGGAAAAGTAAGTGAATTTAAAGTAATTTCCTTCTTTTGAAAAAAAGACAGGAAAGGTTCCTTTCTGCCGATTTTCAGGGTGATGGGTGCACTGAGTATTTTATCCACAATGTATTACTTTGGGACCTTGCATCTAAGGAATGACGATGGGTTTCAGCTTTTGTTAGGCACTGTTTTTGCTATACTTTGTGTAATGTTTTATTTCTTGGTGGATTACTGATGGGTATGGCACTACAGTGAGTGGTGCAGGTTAGATAAACGCTCATGCTCCAACCTTCTTACCGCAGATATGTAATTGCAGAGAGATGCCAGATAGAGGTTTGTTGCGTCTCCATGGGGACAGATTTGGAAGAGGCTCAAACTTGACTAGTTTAGTGTTCCAACCAGCTAAGAGCAACATTGGTTGCAACGTTCTCTTGGTTGCCAGGTAGAGGAAAAAAGAGAGGGGTTTCAATGCCCTTTAAAAAAACATTATTAGCTGATGGACAAAATGTTTTATGAGTATACTGTAGGGCCATAGTGTACCCACATTATATATAAATACATAGTCTGTGGTTATGCTTTAATAGTAACCTCATGAAATGGTTTGTTTTGTGACATTTTTAAATACCATTAAGTTAATAATTTATTTTCATTTTTCTTATTGTAGATGAATAGTGACTCGGACCTTTTGTCATCAGGATATACAAACAAACTGAATGGGGATTTGAAGACACATCATATATGCCCGGTACCAGAAATGGTAAGTAGTGTTGTAATATATCTACTATTCCAAACCAGCTCCTAGAACAATACTCTAATATTCGTATTGTACCAGACCAACTAAACAAGAACAAAACTGTAATATACTCACTGTACCAGACCAGCTAATAGAATGATACTGTAATATTTCTATAATACCAGATGAGCTAATAGAATAATATTATATTCCTTATACCAGACCAGCTAATAGAATAATACTGTAATGTAGGATTGGCGCATATGGTATTCCTAAACATATTTCATTCCTTAATTAACGTACAAGGTTAAAATATATTTAGAAATTTTCTCTCACCCGACCTCTGAATAATGATAGCATCCAAAGCCAGCCAAAAAAGATTTTGCTTCTTTTGGAAGTGGGAGAAGCCTTTTCAGACGCTGCTTTACAGAAGACCTGTGTGTTAATATGCTATCCTGCTCAAACTGACCCATAAAAACAGGAAAACTCCCAAGTCTAGACGCTGGTGTGTGCTGAGCTAGCTGATATCACATTGAGTCTCAGCATCCTAGGTTGAAGATGGGACTAAGATCAAATCCACTGCTATCAGTATTGCAAGTGGGAAAATGTACGTATATTAATCTTTGCCTGCTGCATTTATCTACAAAATCCACAGTCACTACACTTGACACTAACTCCTATAAAGCATTCTGAGACATCCTCGCAACATGGAAGGTGCTATAGCTCACTATAGGGCGAACATTCTGCCCACAATCACTGAATTGCGCTCTGAGAAGCTGCCCCACATGAAGGGCATTATGTAAATGCTAGTTGTTGTTGTAATGAGCTAAACGGCAAACATTTTATTCAAATATTAATTTTAACTAATGTTTGCAAAAGGTTATTTTTATAGCATGTATCAAAATGCCTCAAAGGGCTTCATAGATCACGACTGCCAAGTCCAGTGACTATTTTTTATAGGCATATACAGCAACGATTTGCACCAGCGATGTCCTACAAACAGCCTTGAGGTGATTGATCCAGGAATCTGGAGAATTACTGGCCAGGACTTGCTTTTCAAATGGCATGGGATCTTTAAAATCACTGAATAGGCAGATGGGTTCCTGGTTTATCTTTCAATGTGAAAGACAGCTCCTCTGATTATTAATAACTCCCTTGATGTAATAGTGGGATATTATTCTAAAACTGTGTCAAGCTGATGCCTCCTTAAATATGGGGGAAACAATTTGCATTTGGACTCATGCCCTGAAGTCGATAATTTCATAAGAAACAAAATGAAGTTGAAATCAATGCTGGCTAATAAAGTCATTTGACTATGAACTGGGTTTTCTGAAGGGAACCCTTGTACATCGCACCAGCCTATAAGACCTCAGCTACAAGGAGAGCTTGGGTCAGAGCTCATGAGTCAAAATGACCGACAGAGGAGTTTCCCTTCAGAAATCTAGTTTGCTTTGCAGGTTCTTTTTCCAACATTTATGCAGTGCTCACATGCTTTTTCAACCTGACTATTTGTATCCAAAATAGATGAAGAGACAGATTAATATCTGTCTAAATAAGTCAGTTTATTGATAACTACTAATTTAGCTTCAGGATTTGACATATAAAGTTGATTAAAATGATTACTGTAGACTTTTAAATTATACTATGTCAGCTCATTGCCATTTTGATTGGAAAGATCCCCAGTGCTATCGAGTTCAAACTAATCTTACGCAATTCATAGCTTGGACCAGACAGCTTCTCGATTTGCTCCATTAGCTTAATTGACCAGGAGCACAACTTGCTGCAGTGAGTTCTCACTTATTGCTCCAATTACAAAAGATGTATTCAGGTTTAACTCTGAATGCCCCCTAAATCCTGCCGCAGTAGCTCCACTTACAAGAGTTTGCTTGCCTTGTTGTATTAACTTGCAGGAAATGAAGCCCTGCATGCAGAAGAAATGCTGTGCACTCGATACATGGCACTATTGAGAGCACAGTTTATCAGGCATTGGAGCACCAACAAATAACACCCTATTCTTGTAATACGCACATGTGATCCTTGATCATAATCATAATTCTCGCATTTGATATCATGCTTTTCATGTCAGGAGGCGGTCTCAAAGCACTTCACATGATGTCCTGTAAAGTGTAGTGACTGTGCATTTTGTAGGTGAACACAACAACAGCTAATTTATACACAGCAATGTCCCACATACAGCCATGAAGTGAGTAACCAGTTTTATCTGGTGAAGTGTTGGCCAGGACACCGGGAGAAAATCCTTTCTCTTTTTACAGAGATCCTTGAGGCACTCTCTCAATTCTTAGTCAGAAATTGTGAGTTCAAGTCTGTCAAGTCCCACATCTGGACTTTGAGCTCCCCTAGTTTAGGGGATCACTGACCTTTTTGGAGTTCCTTTAAATGCTATGTTAAATGAAGGTCCTGTTCAAGTGGACATTAAAGGTCCTGTAGTATGACTATACTCAAAAAAAAATGAGAAGGCCATCCTCCAGATAAAATTGGTCACTCACTTCATGGTGGTTTGGAGGAGAATGCTGTGTGCAAATTGGTGCTGAGTTAACCTACAAAATCCACAGTAAATTCTGTGAAGGCTTTGAGATATCCCCTTAATGTGAAAAGCGCTAAATAAATTACAAGCGCTATTATTATCAGTAATAGTTGTTCCCCCCCNACACACTTCATTACTTTTTAAAGATTTGTGTCTTCTGTGTTACAGGTAGAGAGTATGGGTCCCCGATCACTGCGCTCACATCAGGAAGAGTGCTGTTTACCACAGCCATCACAGGCCAGCCAGCAGCCACTTCAATTTAACATTTTCCCTACAACAGGTAAAAAAAGATATAGAACGCTGAAGATTGCTAGAATATATCACATGCGATTTCTTTATTAAAATAGTTGTTTTTCACCATTGAGAAAATCACACACATTAGTGAAGACTTTTTAAATCATGTTTGTTCATTTTTTTTCAGTTCTCAACAACAACCAGATTACATTTGTATAGCGCCTTTCACGCCGGGAGGACATCCCAGGGTGCTGGAAAGTGTACAGCATTTCAGACCCGAGCTGGGGTTGGGGGGAGAAGGGAGGGGAGGGGAAGGGGGGTGGCCAATGGCATGGTCGATGAGGAGGGTCTTGAGGTGGGACTTTAAGGAGGGGGCGAGGCGGAGTGACTGGGGGATGGAATTCCAGAGGTTGGCTGAAGGCTCTCCCGCCAATGGTGGGGCGGATGGATCAGGAGACGTGGAGCAGGCCGGAGCCGGCTGAACGGAGGGAAAGGGCGGGTTGGTAGAGGGTTAGGAGGTCGCAGAGGTAGGGTGGGGCGAGGCCATGGAGGGCTTTGTATGTGAGGACCAGGATCTTGAACTGGATCCTGTGAAGGATAGGGAGTCAATGGAGTCGGGTGAGAGTGGGGGAGATGGGGTCACGGAGTTTGGTGCAAAAGAGGGCATGGGCTACAGAGTTCTGGATTATCTGTCATGGCTTGAATGTGGGGGAGAAAAGACAGTTGAGGGTCGAACAAGACACCTAGGTTCCTGACTGGCTTGGAGAGTCGAAGTGTGCAACCATGGTGGTTGATGCTGCCAGAGCCTGAGGTGCAGAGGCGCTGGCGCGAGCCAATCAGGAGGGCCTCAGTCTTGTTCACATTCAACTGTAGGACGTTTACCCTCATCCAGGACTTGATGTCCGAAAGGCAGTCTGTCAAGACATCAGTGGTCCTGAAGTCAAGGGTGGAGAGAGAGAGATAGGGTTGGGTGTCATCCGCATACATGTGGAAGTTGACCCCATGTCTGCAGATGATGTCACCAAGGCGGAGCATGTAGATATTAAAGAGAGAGGGCCAAGGACAGAGCCCTGGGGGACGCCAGACGTGATAGTGCGGGGGCTAGAAGAGAAGCCGTTAGAGGCAACAAAGTGAACATGTGAAGGGCGATTAGGATGGTTAGGTTGAATAGACTGTTTCATTGCTGTTGATTCAATGTAATTCAACAAAACTGAGTTCTGTAAAACTATTAAAGTAAAACATTCAGATGCACAGCTGTAGTAAGTTATATATAGCAGCTTGGTGTGCAAGGAATTGAAAGAACAGAACCATTTTGCTGTATCAACAACAAAATTACATTTGTTTAGCTCCTTTCACGTCTGGAGAATGTCCCAAGGCGCTGGACAGTTAATGTTTTGGACCCAAGCTGGGGATTGGGATCAGGGAAGGTGGAGGGCAGGGGGTGAAGGAGGGTGATCAGAATAATGTCCAGTTTATTCTGCATTTCAGAATGAAAAGAACCATGTACTATGGAGTCCTGTAGCTCAGTGGTTAGAGCACTCGCTTTGCAAGCGAGAGACCTGAGTTCAATTCCAGGCAGAGGGCGAAACCTTGGGCAAGTTTCCTTACTCCACACGCCTAATAATAATCCCTCCAAAACAAAAAACAATAATAAATTGGTTATTTTCAATCTACGACTGTTTGTGGGACATTGCTGTGCGCAATTGGCTGCCGCGTTCGCTCACAAATATACAGTCAATTCACTTTACAGTGTATTCTGTGAAGCGCTTTGGGACATCCTCCCGATGTGAAAAGCGCTATATCAAATGCAAGGATTATTATTATTATTATTGGACAAGTTTCCTTACTCCACATGCCTAATAATAATCCCTCCAAAAACCCAAAACAATCATAAATTGGTCATTTTCAATCTACGACTGTTTGTGGGACATTGCTGTGTGCAATTGGCTGCCACATTCGCCCACAAAATATAGTCAATTCACTTTACAGTGTGGTCTGTGAAGCGCTTTGTGACGTCCTCCCGACGTGAAAAGCGCTATATCAAATGCAAGGATTATTATTAAACCTGCAAGCCAAGGCTGTAACTGGTAGGGTGGTCCTAGCTGGACAAGCAGCGGGAAAGCTTGCCAGACAGTTTTTTCAATGGCAAGCTATGTAGTTTTGGCTGGTTAGGTCCCAGCAGTACCCTAATGTACACTCTGAGGTCCTCAAGCCTTGACTCTTGTCAACCTAATCCTCTCCAGAATTAGGTAAGCAAGATGCGTCTCTCCATGGAGAGAGTGTGCATACCATTCCAAAACATGGGAATTTCTATATATAGATGGCAGACACAAGAACTCTCAGTCCTAGTTTGGATATTCTCGAGCATGGTATGCGTGTCCACACATGTCAGACACCCGGCTGGCCCCCAAAAAAGTGCAGTATAAATTGGCGATAAGCAGCACAATGTGAAAACAAATCTTTCTGGAGCCTGATTGTCAGATCTATCTGAGGGAAGTATTATTGATTGATTTGTACAACTGCAGTATAAATTCAGGCTTTGCAAATCGTTCAGCATCTGCTCCTCATGAGTCTTCTAAGGTCAAAACCACCAGTTATTGGGGCTCTGTGCATGGCTGAGTTTGATATGCCCAATAAATTTTACATTGGTTGGGGCAAGGAATAAAAATTTAGTATACATATATTGGCTTGCAGGTTTAACAGTACAGCTGTGTTTCGTCCACAAATATACGGCCAATTCACTTTACAGCATATTTTGTGAAGCGTTTTGAAACGTCTAGAAGATGTGAAAAGCGCTATATCAAATGGAAGGATTATTATTATTAAAACCACTTAGATTTCTTTGCACCACTTGTATTACTTGACTTCTAATTCATAATACCCCTCCCCAACCCTCCATTACTCCCACGCTTATTGGAGGCCTTGAATCGCAGGAAACATAGTCTTCATCCATCAACCCATGCACAGAAGAACTTCATTTATCGCGATTCTAAAGTTTGTTAGTACGTGCACTTGCGGTGATGAGTGAGGATGCACTGAATCGTGAGAAAAATAATCTTAACCCGTCACCGCATGCGTGCTTACCAGTTGCAGTGACGAACTACCTCATGCGCAGTTACAGGCTGCATTAAATTACGCATGCACATTGTAGATTATTGATTAAATCGGATTTTCTACGACTTCTACAGTTTGCCTGCATCTTGGACTTCTCGTAAATCATATTAAATGTTATGGTCCCAACTGATACGACTTATGAGAGTTTTACTGTATACTGTTCTTTTCATTCTGTAAACGGTCAGTATAAAAATAACATTATTGCTTTGTTGCTGTAAGTTATTTTGTTATCAACAGGTGATTGAGCAGGTAGGTGGCAAATGAAGTATAATGTAGGGAAGTGCAAAGTCATCCACCGAGGTAGCAAAAACAGTAGAGCTGGTTATTTTTTTTAGAAGGGGAGAGATTGGAATGTGTTAGCGTCCAGAGGGACTTGGGTGTCCTTGTACACCAATCACAGAAAGTTAGTCTGCAGGTGCAGCAAGAAATTAGGAAGGCAAACGGTATGTTAGCATTCATTATGAAAGGATTAAAGTATAAGAGTAGGGACGTCTTGCTGCAACTGTATAGAGCCCTATGAGACCACACCTGGAATACTGTGTGCAGTTTTGGTCTCCTTATTTAAGGAAGGACGTACTTGCCTTGGAGGGGGTGCAGCGTAGATTTACTAGGTTAGTACCAGGGATGAAGGGGTGAGTTACGAGGATAGGCTGACCAATTTGGGCCTATATTCTCTAGAATATACAAGAATTAAAGGGGATCTTATAGAAACCTATAAGATCATCAAAGGGCATGATAGAGTAGATAGTGGGAGATTGTTTCCCCTGGTTGGAGAAACTAAAACCAGGGGTCACAACCTTAAAATCAGAGGCCAGCCCTTTCGCGCTGAGTTGAGGAAGAACTTCCTTCACTCAAAGGGTAGTGAATGTATGGAACTCACTACCCCAAAGGGCTGTTGACGCTCAGTCCTTGAACATATTCAAGACTGAGATAGATATATTTCTTATTGCAAAAGGGATTAAGGAATATGGGGATAAGACAGGGTTAGGTTATTAGTTGGAGTTAGATTGGAAGATCAGCCATGATTGAATGGCGGGGCAGGCTCGAAGGGCCGAATGGCCTACTCCTGCTCCTACATGTTATGTTAGTATAAACTGAATATAAAACATGCTCAATGGTTTTATGCAGATCAAATTAGCTTGATTCTGTGATGAGAAGTCAGTATAGTACAAGACAGTGGGAGTTCTGAAAGTAAGAGATGAAATGGGCCAAAGGGCCTTCTTCATCCCATCCAACCAGATCCTTTGAATTTGCACAATACAAATCTATCATTACAGAAAACATTTTAGACATCATGATCATAAGACATCAACAACAGCTTGCATTCATAAAGTGTCCTTCACATAGCATAATGTCTCAGAGAGCTTTACAGGGATAGAGAAGTAAAGATACATAGCTCATCTTTCCAGAGTGCCTACTCAGCAGTCTTCCTTCGTATGCTTACAGCATCAAATTGTTTCTTTTAATGAATCCCATATCCTGTTCAAGGATGGCAGGTCCAAATGAGTTGCTAGATGTTTCTATGGGAATTTGCTGTTTTACTTGTACAATAAGTGTTGCTGCATGTTGCCCTTCACATACAACCTGTACATTAAAGTGCTCCGTGTTGTTATATCTCTCCATAGATATCGCAAATCCTAATTTTCTATCAAGTTTGAAACCTCAATGTGAAGAGTTAAACAGAATATCGTCAATTGAATTCAGTCTTGAAGATAACCTGCATCGCCGTTCTGCTGAATATCAATCCAACAGTTTCTGTAAGCCTGGTAAAGGAGTTCCTGAAAGTGAACCTGATTCTGGACCAGGGGAATTTATCCTTCAGCCCTCTTTGACTGGTGAGTAAGGAATTTGATGTAATTTATTATTGAAAGGGAAAATTATTTCCCAGTTGGAATTGAGAAATAGATTCCAGACTTTATGATCCAACCCATGGCTTTTGATAACCTGTGCCGAATATTCTCTGGAATTTGGTAAGCAGGGAGCATCCCTCCATTCCAGATCTAGGGAAACTTCCATGTGTAGGTTATATAAATATTTGGAACTCAGTCTGGTTTGGGTATTCTTAAGTATGGTGATAAGTTCCTCCATGTATCAGACTGACCAAAGCAAAATATCCCATTGTCTACTGTCTTTTCTCTTTACTTCTTAATATGCTCAGTTCCATAAATGTCGATCTATTTCCTATTAAAGCAACTTAATTCATTCTGCCTCTACTGAGGACTGTAGCAAGAGAATCAATTCAAACAAATAATGGATTGAAAGTGAGTCACAAATGAAAATAAAATTGGTCATTTACTTCATGGCTGTTTGTAGGACATTGCTGTGTTCAAACTGGCTGCCATATTCACCTACAATCATTGCACTTTATAGTGTATTACTATGAAGCAATTTGGGTCAATCTCCCAATGTGAAAGCTAGTGTACGAATTATTATTATTCAAATTTCATTCTGTTGAGGGATCTGCGCCAGTCAAAGTTAAGGCTTCTTTAAATCCTGACCAATGTTTCAATTTATGCTGAAGCAACACGAGGCTTTTCATGGCCTATTTTTACTTCTGGAAATGAATCAAACTTCCAACAGCAGAGCAGTGCAGAGCTGGGTTTATACTGTCTGTTTCCATATTTTATTGGCTTGAGGAGGTTAAAGAAAACAACCTGTATCAAAATGCCATGAAAGTGCAAATAAATGCATCCGTACAACTCCAAAATCAAGTTTATTAAGGAGCTGGCATGAGCATTAGGCCATTCGAGAACATTTAACAGACCATCTGGGAGTGGAGCCAGCAGGCGTTCACAACAGTCACATTAACAGTGCAGTGCAGTACATTGGAATCCTACCAAAACCACTGTGTAATCTCAGCAGCAAAGCTCTGGCATGATTTGCATTTATATAATAGTATCTAATTATAATAACATGCAGTTTAACCAGGATTTACACCACCTTTTCACTATGTTGCCATTGCTGTTCCTGCTGCTTTTAACTGGGCTTATTTATAAATTCAAATATTATGTGCTGTTCTCTTGCCAGAGTTTATCTTCCAAGGGGTGGCTCAACAGTGGATTCAGAATAAAAGAGAGGACATTGTCAGTCAGATGACGGAGGCGTGTCTCAATCAATCCCTGGATGGCCTGATCGCCCGAGATCTAATAATGCGAGAGGACTACGAGCTTATAGCTACTAAACCCACAAGGACAGCTAAAGTCCGAAAGCTACTCGACACCTGTGACAACCAGGGAGAAGATTTTGCCAAAGTTATTGTTCAAAAGTTAAAGGATAATAGACAGATGGGTCTGCAGCCTTTTCCAGATTTGTCTGCTGTGCCTTCTCCAGTCGCTTCTGGGAGCTTTTCATCAACAAATCTCAAATACAAGTGACAAGGACTGACTTGTTTTAATTAGATTTTATCTCCATGACTTTTGGAGATAAATGACTCTCTTTTCAGCAACTTTAAACTATGAGGAGTTACAAAGTTTAATAATTCCATATCGGGATCTACAGCTAATGTTTTCAGTTCTGTTACAGTTCAGTGGAGTTTTGAAATATCTTGCATATCTGTTATATTTCAGAGAAGTCTACTGCTGGCCTGCCCTGGTCTCTGGGCTTTCTGATCTTACACTGTCCTTGTGCTGCAAATTGCAGGTAATGAACAGTGTTGATATAACATTGGATGCTTCAAATAAAAATAATGGAGTTTTTTTTATCTTGCGGACAGAAATTGTGTAAGACCCTGCCCATTCAACCATGGACATGGACATTCAACCTTGCTTCCTCTCATTCTGGGGGATTTTTGCTTAATGTCCATTAGCCACAGATAAATTCTTTGCAAGGCTGATAGATTGGATACTTCTGCGAAGCTGAGTGTGAGACATTGCAGGGAGATGGTGTGGTGACCAAGAATTATCTTCTCAATGAGCTCTGTGGTTTGAGCATAGACATTGACACTTGACTTCAATTACAGTCTGAGGTTGGTTTCTCTTCATAGCTGGAGAAGGATATGAAAGCATTTGCAGTTGAGATGTGAAAGGAAGAAAAAGGATAAGATATTCTGAAAATGTAATTTTCAGCCTGCATTCTTTGCCTTAGTGGATAGAGACCATTCTCTATTGAGTATGAGACCATCAGCCAAATATGTTCCTAAATAAGCTGGTAACAGGTACAATTACAGTTGGTTTATAATCTTAGTGTTAGGATTGCTATATTATTTAAAAGGTTGATTGTTTGTCCTTTGTCTAAAATTCCTGTTGTGTTCCTACGTGTGGGAAATATTGCTGGTCTAGATCTACAGTATGCAATGCCTGAAGTGGAAGTCTTTACACAATTGTATTTATAAGTTAGTGGAATTCCTTAAGAGGCTGGTGTTTTTAAACAGAATTATTTTTTGGCTGTTAGACAGTGTTTTGTAAAGACTGCAGTACTGGACCTTGTTGATCCAATGAGATGAAGTCCCAGCTGTCTGAGCCATATGTTACTGCAGCTTCTCCTCTTCACTGTTTAGTTTGTCGGCAATTTTCTTTGTTGAATTTAGTTATCCAAAGTAAACCACGGCACTTACTTATTGGTTTATCGTAATTGTGTCGTTTTATATTTTTGATGTATGTTGATTTTGTACAAATAGTTCAGACTTTCGTTTATTATTTAACATGAACCCACAATATTTTAATCCCAGCCATAGTTTAGAAGATGTTACTTTCTATATTAACACTTAATATAGAGTGAACAGAAGCTAGGAAATACCTATCCTCTATAGGTGCTCATATGAAGGTTAGGCCATCCCAGATGAATTTCACTTTATTTTTCTGTTTGCAGATATTTAAATGCCTCAAGACACCACACTAAATGAAGAGCATTATATAAATGCAGGTGGTTGTTGCCATTGTATTCATGAAGAAGAATGAGTCAAATTCTGTAGGGGAGCCTATTATAAGGCAGTCAACAATAAATCCTTGCATTTATTGTTGACTGCCTTATAATAGGCTCCCCTATAGAAGCAGCATACCTTCTCATTGTCCTCTGGGTCAGCAATAGCTCAGAGGAGGTTATAAGCGAAGTGTGATACGATCTTCCAGGTTGCACGATTTGATAACAGGTCATGATTTCAGAGGTAGGTTGCCTTGAGATTGTATAGGAACATATAAGAAGCACAGGACTTAAGCATCATTTTGATTTGATGACAGATCCGACATTTACCATTCATTCAGTGAATGCAAAACCAAACAGTAGGAAATATTTTTTTTACATAGGAGTTGCCCAATACATTTTAAGAAAAATTACTAAAAAATGCACATCTAGCTGACTGCCTTATATGTATGCTGTATGCTGTATAGCTGTACAGCTGTATGCTGTAAGCAGACTGTTGTGAAATCTGGTTTTTTTTTTACTTAAAAGTGATTCTTGGAAATGTCTGATGCTTAGTAATGCACGTTTGATCTCATTCAGTTCATCAAAATGTACAGATGTGAAATGGTCCATCCGTGTAAGATGAATTTGTACAAGAGAAATGTAATAAATATAGTTTTTAAACCAGAATTTACTTTAAAATTCTATGAAGTTTTTTCAGTGAAGGGGTTTGCTATTATGATGGGTTTTTTTAAATAGGAGAAGCCCAGCCCTCCATATTTGCACTGTGTAAAAAATTTTTTAGGAAATAGAGTATATTGTATTTTGTTTGCATTTAGCGCTAATTTATTTTTAATTAAAGTGTTTCAAATTCTCTTTTCATACTAAATTTTAAAAAAGTTTCACAAAATTCTCAATGTTTAATTATTTTCTATTTATTTTTTTAATTATAATAAACTATTAAAATGTTATACTTATTTTCCAAATACCCTCCCTTGGCAGTTGTAAGGTTTTTTTTTACATAGGTGTCCTCTCCCACAGTAGGCTCCGTGACCCTATCACCCCCATCCTCACCCAACTCCACAGGCTTCCCATCACACAGAGGATACAGTTCAAGATCCTGGTCCTGACCTTCAAAGCCCTCCATGGTCTTATTCCCCACCTACCTCTGCGACCTTCTAACCACCTATCATCCTGCTCGCTCCCTCCACTCAGCGGGCTCCAGCTTGTTTCACGTTCCCCGCCTCGCTCGCCCCACTATTGGCGGGTGGGCCTTCTGCCCCCACCCTCTAGAACTCTTCCCCACAATCCCTCTGCCTCCCTCCCTCTCTTGCCTCCTTCAAGACCCATCTCAAATCTCTCCTCTTTGACTCTGCTTTCGATCTCCATGCATTACCCCCTCCCCCCCTCCACCCTCCCCAACCCCCAGCTCGGGTCCGAAACTCTGTCTGTCCAGCGCCTTGGGACATTCTCCCGATGTGAAATGTAATTTTGTTGTTGTTGTTGTCTGTTGAGGCCGAAATCACTGATGTTGTGGTGGAAATTCCATCCAAGTCAAGATTTTTAAAAAATCTTTAAATTTGATATAGCACCTTTCATGTCGAGAGGACATCTGAAAACTCTTCACAGATTTATTGTTAAGTATAGTGACTGTGTCTTTGTAGGCCATTTACTCTGTTTATGTAGAATTTTACAGGGACCATCATTTTTCAATTTGTGCAACTCAGTTTCAACTATGAAATCAGTTTTCTGTAGTTCGAAGAAGGACTTCCAGAAAAATAGTTTAAAAATTAAGGCTTTATTTAAAATTTTCCCAAATTCTAGGCATTCCAAAATCCCACATAGAGTAAATCTAGACCCAAATGGAATTGCTCGTCTTATGTTCTCGAATTTTTAAATGTTGGAAGATCTCAGACGACAGAAATAACCTTGGCAGAAAGCCTTAATCGAAACAGAACTTGTCTTGCTCAGTTGGTGGGAATCTGGGTCACAAGGTTGTGGGTTTCAGCCTTGCCACAAGAATTGATATCCTGCTTTGGGTTGACAATGCCGTGTTGGAGGTATGTCCTTCAGTTTAAAACAAATAAGATCGAATCTGGTGGTTCAGGCTGATACAAAAGATCCCATGGCATTAGTTGAAAAAAAATCAGAAGTTTTTCTCCCTCATCAAAAGGAAATTAACCATTCAACAGATTGGTTGTTTGTCGAATGCGGTTGGTGCAGATTTACTGCTGCATGTGTGCAAAGCACTTTAGGATCTTAGAGATTGATGAGGTACTTTATCAAATGCAAACATTTTTTATATTGTTACTGAATAACAATTCCATATGCATCAACCACACACAGGATGGGTGTTAGTTATAGAGATATCCATGAACTAGATTGAACAGCTCTTTCAGCTTATAGGAAAATGTGGTGCTAAAACCAGAGTGAAACAACAAGAACTTGCTCATCAACAAACACTCCTTATCATGTCAGCGACACTACAAATGAACAAGATGGGAAATTAAATTCTACTTAAAGTATTGTGCTTTGATTGCAGAATGAAATAGTATTTCAAAGTTGAAAAGCACAAAACAAGATAAATATTAATTCTATATGGTTCTGTTTGCCGCATTCTTTCAATTAACTGAAGCTTTCCAAACTATTTGAAGTTTGCTGTGGAAATGCACCATAGTCCTTGAAGGGTTAAAAACTGCTTCCACTGTTCTTTAGGAGAAGATGCGTGAAAATGAAAGAAGAAGTAATTCTGGAAGTTACTTCATTGGAACACATTACAGCAGTGGTTCAGGAACATGTTATTTGCTGTTTCAAAAGCATTTGAAAACCTTGTGATTGGAAGCCTTCAGTACATATAACCTGGATATGAGGTGGATTCCTCAAACAACCCTTATAATGGAGATCAATGTAGTTCAGAGCAAAATTGGTTCAAGTGATGGAGCATTTGTCAAGAAAAGTGTTATTGGAACATAGAATGATTTTATGTATGTTTTTATAACACTACTATATTGGTCCAGTGGATAAAGGGTCATCTCCTCCTCCAAATAATAAGCACAGGAATGAAGTACTTACAAACATGGAGTGAATGATCAGTTTCATTTGAACATTACAGATGGAACATTACAGTCACATGTAAAAACTCGCAGTTCCCATACAAGTGCTGACAATTCAAACCTTTCAAATGGTCAATAAAATATGTTGTACTTGAAATAAAGATTTGTTTAGACTTTTTTATATACTTTTACCCTCCAGTTTTTGTAATTACTTTCTTATTTGTGTTTTTAATCTATTGATAATAGGTGTTCAGTTAAAATATCCATTTTATTTTTGGCTTAAAACGATTGTTTTAAAAAAAGTTCTACAGTATGTGGAGAAGAAGTAATGCTGAAGTTACTTCACTGGAACACATTTTACAGCAAAAAAGAAAAGGATTTTTATAGAAATTCTAAAGCCCACAAAGCTCAATCAGCAGCCAGTAACTATATATAGTCTGGGCCAGACATGTGGTTCATTGGAATAAAAGGAACTGAAACTAGGCAAAGGATTGCTAGAAGAGTAATATTTCGACACACAACCAGCATCAAAGGTCAATAATTTTTTTATAGTAATAGTCTGTAAGACTTAAAATTCAGCATGTGGAAAACTCTTAAATTCAGTCTGAATCTGGAAGCCAGTTTTTCAGTTCTTTTCTTTGTTTAAAAAATGGATTTCCAAATTAAGCCTGATTTTAAGAATGATCCATAATATTGTTCAAACTTAAATTTTATGACAGAAGTCTTCTAAGTCGAGATTTAGGGCCTTGGATGCTGAGCAGTTTTCATAGTCTTAGCATTAACATTTAAAATTGTGCAGAATTTTGGAAAGCTCTCAAATTTAGACTTCATTTCCTTTTGGGTCATAAAGTTCAGTGTGATCGGAGAAGCATCTGTGGAAAACCGGCATCCAAATTACGTCAGAGAAGGGTGTGTTCATCTTATTTCTCAAAATGTTGCTGTCACATTCTTAGAATACTTTGACACAAATTGAGCTATAATAAAGATGAAAGAAATATTGATTCATTCATTGAATCACAGAAATTTTACAACACAGATGACATCCCATCTATGCTGATGTTAGCGGTCTCACTTGAGCTATCTATCTAATTCCACACTCCTACTCTTTCCCCTTTTTCTTTAAGTGATGTTATCTCAATATCTAGATATATGTTCCACTCCAATACAAGACAAGATTCCATTTATAGAGCGCCTTTCACGTCGGGAGGACATCCCAAGGAGCTGTACAGTTGGGTCAGGACCCGAGCAAGGGGGAAATGGTCAGGGTGAGGGAGCGAGGAGAGGGTAGAGAGTCGAGAGGGGAGCTGAAGGCACGGCCAAAGAGAAGTACTCTGTACTCTTATCAAATGTACTCTTATCAAAACCATTCAGAATTTTGAAAAACAAAAAAGTATTCACACTGAAAGAAAATGAATCTCTTTAGACACACCAGTGGAAAATTATCAAATTGAATTACAGCCTCACTGCATGCTCTTCAAAGTGAAAGCGAAAAGGAGAAGCTTGCCTCATCTGGTCTTTGAGTGTGGAAGCCTCAATTGTTCTCAGATCTTATAGAAACTACTTATGTGCAGTTAGTGAAGGAACACCTCAAAGGCACAAGTAGGAGAAGTCACTAGGTCACTGACCTTTAAAAAAAAGATCTGATTGACCAGCTATTCATACCAACCCCCACATACTCTGGTATCTGTATTATTGCTGCCCACTTAATAATAAATAATAATAATCCTTGCATTTGATATAGCGCTTTTCACGGGAGGACGTCCCAAAGCGCTTCACAGAACACACTGTAAAGTGAATTGACTGTATATTCGTGGGCCAACGTGGCAGCCAATTGCGCACAGCAATGTCCCACAAACAGTCGTAGATTGAAAATGACCAATTTTATTATTGTTTTTGGTTTTGGAGGGATTATTATTAGGCTCTGTGTGGAGTAAGGAAACTTGCCCAAGGTTTCGCCCTGCCTGGAATTGAACTCAGGTCTCTCGCTTGCAAAGCGATTGCTCTAACCACTGAGCTACAGGACACTTGATCTCAGAG